CCTCTGCTCCTGTCCCGCTGGGGGTGTCGAATGAGGCCGCACCAGTCAGGGAGGGGACGCAGGACTGGGTGTCATCCGGTGGCTTGTGACTTCAGGCGGGCCACGCTGCCAGCAGGCCTCCCGTCTCCGCATCTGTGAGATGGGGTCGCAGTGCCCGCTGAGAGTGTTTCGGGGTTGGAGAGATGTTACGTGAGGCATTCCGGAAGGTTCCAGACACCGGGAAGTTCTGTCTGTCGCGGCTGTGGCTTCAGCGGCGTTTGACGCCGGCATGGTTTCCGGGTGTCCGTCTGCGTGGAGCCCGCCGTGGGAGCCGGGGAGGGGCGCGGGCTCCGACCGGGACCGGAAACGGGTGCCGGGCCTCGCGGTGCTGGAACCGGAGCACCGACGCCGCGTGAGGAGACGGAAGAGTGTGCGGCTGGGTCGGTTGCTTATCCCGATTTCCGTAGTCAGGGTTCCGGCCTCATGGCCCCCTGGGGACAGACGGTGCGCAGCAGACACTGCGGAGGGAGGTGCGGGGTGCGCCGAGCGCCCCGTCGGCGAGGGTCACGGCAGCGGGTACTGGCCCCCGGGTTCCAGGGGGAGGAAGGAGTCGGTCGGGGTGTCAGGGAAAGAGGATCCCGAGGAAGGGGCCTGGCGTGGAGGCTCCCGGGCCGGCAGGTGCCTGCTGAGTTCAAGGACGGCCAGGAGGAAGCCGGTGTGGGCGGGAGAGGTGACGGGGTGTGGGGGGGGCGCGGTGGTGGGGGGGCGCGTTGGCCGCTCTGGACCTGAGGAAAACTCGTGCTCCGGACCCCGTTAGGAAGCTGGAATTTCCGTTTTCCCTTTCCTGGTGTCACGAGGACACACCCCGCGGACGACCGCGGGGACCACAGCGACCTGGGGGGCGGTTTCCGAGGAGAGAGTTGCCCGGCCCACGCCTGCCAGGGTGCCGGGCCGTCCGCGTGCAGACGTCAGAGCCGTGTGGGGGAGTGTCTGTTGCGGGGAAAACGTGGAATTCTCCAGGAATCGGTTCCAGGGATTGGAAACACCAGCGCAGCCAAGTAGGTATGGAGCGAGGGTGTGGCTCGGGCTATTTTTAATCACGGGGACAGTTCCTCGGAGGAGGTTGCGTGACTTTCAGTTCCATGCCTGCGGCGTTGTGCAGCTGCGCGGTTTTGGGGAACAGGGAACTTCTCGGGAATGGGGAGCCCTGGCTGTGACGTGAGCGGGGAGCAAACCAGGATGGCGTGGGGACGGACGCGGCCGTGTGTGGGGGGCGGCGCCGGCCAGCGCACCTGCCCGGCCGGAGCCCTGGCTGCTGGGAGTGTGGATCGGCCCGGTGGCTCCGCAGAACGGCAGACCCTGCTCCTGAGCGGCACGGTGGGGCACCCCGGGAGCTGGCGGTCCCCCTCTTCGGCGCGGGCCCAGCCGCGACGCGCACCCGTGTCCGGGGCGGCCCGTGTGTGACAGGAGACCCCGCACCCCTGCGGCCGCCAGTGTCCCACGGTGGCTGCGCCCGGCGCGGTGCGGGGAGAAGTCAGAAACAGGACCTGGCGGGCCGACGCCACTCACGTAGCAGCACCACAGGCCAAGAACCCCCCAAACCCCCCGCCGTGTCAGAAGGCAGAGCCCCCCTTGGGGCGGGAGGGACTTGAAGGGGACCTGGGGGGTGCGTGGGGGGCGTGTGATGTGGCGTTTCTCCCGGGGGCTGGCACACCGGCGTGTGGACTCACTCGGCGGAACTTCCGGTACTTGCGCTTCTCTGTGCGCTCTGTTTCAACGTAAGGAAGTCGGAAAAGTCAGTGGGAGAAAGAAGAACCCCGTGCGTTTTTCATTCGTAATGGGGGGCAGTGCTTGCGTGCGCTTCCGGACACCGGCGTGGAGAAGGGGCCGAGCCCCGCCCGGCGCTGCTGCCCGCCAGCTCCCGGGGCGCTGGCCACTCTGGGGTGAGGAGTGGGGAGGCGGGTCTGCTCGTCCGTGTGGTGCGGTTTTCGGGAACACTGGCCAGCGCGGGCTGGGGGAGCTCTCCGCTGGATGCGTGGTGTTTCTGATCCTGTCCGTCCTCTCCTGCTCGTTTGCACTGTGTACCATCAAGACGGACGGAACCATGTTTACTGCTGGAAGCAGAACAGCATCCGCAGTGACTGTTGGAGTGGCCAGGGACTCGGGGTGGACGGGGGGGGTGCTTTTACTGGGAAAACTGGGAGAGAATGCAGTCAGGCAGAGACACACGGGACATTGAACACCCCCCCCGTCGCCCCGTTATCGCCCCGCATGTGTGGCGAGCAAGACGGAGGTGGGTGTGCACAGATGGCGGGTCGGGGCAATGTCCCTTTCTCGATGTCCCTTTCTCCAGGGGTCAGAACGTCACAGGAAGTGAGCTGGTGAAAGAAACACGCCGCAAGGCCCGTGAACCTGAGCCCTGGACAGTTTCTCGTTCACGGAGCCCTGGCGCGAGGGGTGGTGGAAGGGCTGGCGGCGGCGGGTCCTGTGTGGGGAGCCCCGCCTGCAGACAGAGACAGGCGCTCGGGTGGCCCCTGTGTTCCCCGGCCCCGGGGCCGAGGAATCCTCGCCTCTGAGGCCAGGGCCGCGATAAGGACGAGGAGGCCTCTGCTCCCACTTCCTGAGAACAGGGTGTCCCCGTGAGGACAGGCGCCACACAGGGACGCTTCCCGTCACAGGCGGGAGCCTGGGAGGAGCCTCCGTTCCCGCCGGAGCCTGAGGTCAGCTGCGGACCCCGGTCCTTGGAACTTGGGGGGGGGGTTGTCTGGCAGGTCACCATTCACCCCCCACCCCGCCTGCTGAATGAATATTCACAGCAAGGCAGCGGCGGTTAGCAGCACCCGATTTTTGTGGGGTTTGGGGCATCAAATGCCTCCCGCCCTGCGACCGGGGTTCTCAGACTGTGGCCCCGCACCCGCCTCACCCGGAAGCTGGGTGGACATTCAGATTCTTGGACCCCACTGGGGACGCCGAGGGTGGGGCCCAATCACCTGTATCCTTAAAATATTAAAACAGACGCAGCACAGGCAGGCAACATTGTGTGAGGTGTACCGCCGACCTGGAGGAGCAGCCCTGTGCCCGTGGGGCTGGAGCGGGGAGGGCGTGCCTGTCGGGGCGCCTGGGAGCGAGCCCGCGGGCCGGCGCCCTGGACCCTCGTTTTGCAGACTGGACACTCTGAGGTGGTCCGGCCACACGGCTGGGAAATGACAGAGGCTGCGTGTCAGCCCCCGCTGCCCGGAGTCAGGCCCCGTCCCCCGTCCCCAGCCTTCCCACGTGGTGCCCGGCCGGCCTCCCCTCCATCTGTTGTGTCCCCGTGGGGACTGGCCATGAGGGTGTCCGTTGGCCAGGAGTGTCAGAGCCCTGTCCTTGAACCTGGCGGGTCCTCCGCAGAAGCCGGGGGCCTCCTCAGGGGGCCTGGCACCTCCTGTAGGTGCGGCCCTCATGTGGCAGTGGAGCCTGCTGGGAAAGGTCCCTTTTCCTTAACTTTTTTCTTTTTTTGAAAACCACACCTGTCCTACTGTAGCCAACAGACACTCGGAATCATAGCTCTAGACACGTTTGGCCGTTAAGATATTGGGGATGCTAGCACACCCCCCGGTCCTTATGTATTCATACCCGTGTGCACACACACACACACACACATACACGTGTGCATACTTTGACACACACGGTGTGATGAGCCCTGTGCTCCTCTGCCACTGCATGTATGTCCTTGACGGCGAGGCCCCGGGACAGACGCAGACAAGGAGGAGGGGTCAGTGCCGACGGGAGGCCACCGTTCCCGCCACCCACGGGTCCCTCTGCCGGGGTGGACGCTGTCCCCGGCGCTCTCGGCCGCAGAGCCCTCCCCCCCAGTGTGGGGGGTTTCTGGTGCCCCTGGGGGCTCCCGAGTGCACTGGGAGGCCTCGGTCTCCTCCTGGGTAATGTTTTGTTTTTTTTTTAAGATTTTATTTATTTATTTTTAGAGAGGGAAGGGAGGGAGAGAGAGAGAGAGAGAGAGAGAGAGACATCAATGTGTGGTTGCTGGGGGCCGTGGCCTGCAACCCAGGCATGTGCCCTGACTGGGAATCGAACCTGCGATGCTTTGGTTCGCAGCCCGCGCTCAATCCACTGAGCTGGGCCAGCCAGGGCCTTTGCTGAGCTTCAAGGTCAGGTAAGGGCGGCTCCACGTTCGGTCCTGAAATGCTGACTGGTGTCACCAACGAAGGGGACCCTGTCACTCGCTCTGAGGTGTCGCCTGGACAGTGGCTGGGAGAGGTCAGTCGTGGCGGGCGGTGCGGCCCCATGGCGGGGAGTCCGGGCAGGAAAGGCCCCCGCTCCCGCTGCACTTCCTGCGGTGAGGCTCCCCCCGCGGGGCGCTGCCACCCAGCTCTTCGCCGGAAGGACGCTGGGGCTCGTGAGCGCGCTCTGTGCCGGTCACCGGACTGACCGTCAGCTCGGTTTTCCTGTTTGTGCGCCGCTCGGGCCTCAGGTTCCGGGCTGCCCGCTGCTCGTGCCGACCTCTTGTCTGCGGGGAAGCGGGCGTTCTGGGGCGCAGGACCGGGGTCCCGCCCTGCACACGCGAGTGGGAGCGTCGCTGTGGGAACAGCCGCTCTCACACGGCAGGTGGCGCGTGGGCAGAAACTGGGGACACGCAGTCACTGGTGGCCGGGGTCTTCTTCCGCCTGAAGCCCTCGTCTCGACTCCGGGGGAAGGGACTCTCGTGTGTGCGCCGCGTTGGCCGGCCGGCCGGCCACTCCCTTCCACCATCGGCAACGAGGTCGGGCTGGTCCCGGGGTGTGGGCGTGGGGCCAACTCGTGAGCAGACGGACCCTCGGACCCTCGGACCCTCGGGCCTGGCCCCGAGCCGGGGCTCTGCCCGTGAGCGGGTGGGCGTGTCCTGGGCGGCCGAGGGCTTCCTCTGGGGCTGGGCCCGAGTCCCTGTGGAAGGGACTCGCTGGCAGCGCAGGGCCCGAGCGCCGGCCCCACCCCCGCGTTCTGAGCGGCGGTCCCACGGGCGGGCGTCCCCCTCTCTCCTGCAGACTTGCCGATGCCCCAGGCCAGCGAGGGGAGGGACCTGGAGCCCGAGCGAATGCAGGTGCCGCAGGGGAACCCGCTGCTGCTGTGCCACACCCTGCAGGAGCTGCTGGCCAGGGACTCCGTGCAGGTGGAGCTCATCCCCGAGAAGAAGGGCCTCTTCCTGAAGCACGTGGAGTATGAGGTGTCCAGCCAGGTAACCGCGCGCGGCGGCGGGGGCGGGGCCCGAGCGCTCGGCCCGCGGGGGAGGCGCAGGCGTGCGTGGGTGGCCCCGCGGTCCCTACGCTCAGCGCTGGGTCTGACGTCAGACGGCGGGGGGCGGGGCTCTCTCCGGGCGGCCAGCGCTGCTGTGTCCGCGTCACCGAAGGTGTCTCCGAGGCCCCCCCCCCCTCCGGCCGGGAGGGCGTGCGGAGCGCAGTGCCCTCCTGCCCACCTCCGGGGCCAGGGACTCCCGCGGGGCCTCTCTCCCGGCAGGTCCGGGGGGATGCACTGGAGACGGGGCCAGAGCTGCACGGCGCCCCGCGTCCGCGAGGAGCGGGCAGCTTTCCTTTGGGGGGGGCCGCTGCTCCCGGGGCCCCGCGGGGGCGCGGGGCACACCGGCGTCGCGTCTGAGCGCGGGCCCGTTGCCTTGTAGCGCTTCAGGTCCTGCGTGTACAGACGGTACAACGACTTCGTGGTCTTCCACGAGCTGTTGCTGCAGAAGTTCCCCTACCGCATGGTGCCCGCCTTGCCGCCCAAGAGGATGCTGGGAGGTACGGCGGGGCCGGCTTCGGGGGCAGGGCGGCGGGGAGCCGGACGACCCCCTGGGTGCTGAGATCCTGGCCGTCTTCTCGGGGAGGGGGGGGTGCCAGCCCCTCGGTGACCCCGGGCCACAGCTGGGCGACGCGATGCCGCCTGGCACCCTTGGCCTCCACGGGCCCTCGCTGGGCCCCTGGCCGGCAGGAAGGCCCCTCTTGTCCAGCAAGAAGCGTGCGCCCCGGGCTCCTCCCTGGCTGTGGCTCGGGCAGGCTGAGTAAGGGTCAGAGTTCGGGCTGGGAGACGGCAGGCTCACCCACGGTCGTGCGGGTCAGCGTCGGTGGTGCCTGGCCTCCCGCACAAGGGTTCCTGCCAGTCTCCAGGGGCCTCGTTCAGCAGCTTCAAAGTAGTGTTTTAAATGCTATCTCTGCCGTGGCTGGTGTGGCTCAGTGGACTGAGCGCCAGCCTGGAAACCAAAGGGTCGCCGGTTCGATTCCCAGTCAGGGCACAGGCCTGGGTTGCGGGCCAGGTCCCCAGTGGGGGGTGTGCGATGTTTCTCTCCCTCTCTTTCTTTTTCCTTCCTGCTCTCTCTCAAAGCAAATTAATAAAATCTTTTAAAACACACTCTTTCTATTTGTGGTCAGACTTAAAAGCCTTTTCTGTGTGCATCCCCTCTTTCCCCTCGAAGTGAGAAAGTTCAGTCCAAGTGCCACGTGCCCACTGGTCCCACTGTGGGGTGAGGCAGAGGTGACAGGAGCGGGAGAACGGGGTTCAGGCAGGTGGTGTGGCCCCAGCCGCTCCTCCCCATGGGGTCACGGGGCGGGACTTCAGTGCGGGGCAGTCCAGGGGCGGCCCGGCTCTGGGGCGCTGCTCGGCCGTCCGGGCCCCGGGCACTCGTCGGAGTGGGCACTCTGGCGTCCTCAGCGTGGACGGCCTGGGGTGCAGTGCGTCCCGCCCGCCCGCCTCTGTGGGTGACCCACCTTCTGTCTCTCCAGCGGACAGGGAGTTCATCGAAGGCCGGAGGCGGGCGCTGAAGCGCTTCATCAACCTGGTGGCCCGGCACCCGCCCTTCTCGGAGGACGTGGTCCTCAAGCTGTTCCTGTCCTTCAGCGGCCCCGTGAGTACCTCGGGGCCACTTGGGGCAGCCCCGTCCCCGGCGGGGCCTCTGCTGCTGTCTGCCCTGCGCCCGCCCCTCGTCGTCCGGCGGCCCCCGGGGTTGGGTTAGAGCGGGTGGGCCGCACTGGCGGAGGCCCCTCGGTCGGTCGGTCGGTCGGGGCTCCTCAGGGGTCGGCGTGTCCCCGTGGAGGGGTCCTCCGTGTGGCTGTGGGGGGGCTCCGTGGCTGGGCGGGTCTGCGGACGTGCCGGAGACTCCGATGGGAACGAGTGTTTCCTGGAAGGAGAGCGAGGCCAAGTTCGACCAAGGGCCCCGCCACCAGCAGCCGAGTCCCCCGGTGGGGCCGCGGCGGCCCCCTGTGCTGGGCGTGACCGCCGCGTGCTCTGGGGGTGGTGGCGCCTTCCCCGGACCGCGTCCCGTCGAGGCTGCAGGCGGGGAGCTGAGGCAGGGCCACCGCCCTGGCCGGGTCCCCAGGGCAGGCAGCTCTTCCGTGGAGACCCTCTCGTTGTGGGGGTGGGCTGCAGGTGGCCCCAGCAAGGACACTTTGTTGGGGGGTCGTGCGCCTGACCCTCTTCTCGTGCAGGGGCCAGTCCCCGCCGCAGGAAGGCCCGGGGCAGAGGGCAGAGGGCAGGGATTGCGGGCCTGGCCGCCGCCTCCTCTAGAGGTGGAAGCAGCTTCTGGCCCCCGGGGAGGGAGCGCTGCTCCACTGTGGCCCCCGGCGACCTGCGGGCACTGCCAGCTGTGTGGGGCCGCGGCCAGACTCGGGGCGGCGCTGACCGGCCCTCCTGCCCTGACTGTGTGGCGGTGTCTCCCCCCCTCCCCCCACCCCCCAGGACGTGCAGAGCAGGCTGAAGGAGGCGGCCCAGTGCGCGGGCGACGAGTTCCTGACCTGCAAGCTCGCTCCTCGGGCCAAGGTACGGTGCGGGCCGGGGCGTCCTCGCGCTTCCCCACGCGACCCTCGGGCGGCGGCTGGCGTCCCGCACCCTCCCTCGTGGAGGTGAGGGGACAAGTCAGAGACCCCCCAGGCTCTCTCGGGGGCCGGGTGTCCGCTGGCCAGCCTTCTGGGTGCCGGGGCCTGGCCGTCACTGCGGTGCGGGTTCAGGGGGCCGCGTCTTCTCCTCGAAAGGGCGGCGGCCGCGGTCCTGCTGCTTCGTGCTCCTCCTCGAACTGCTTCACACACACACAGACGTGCTCCCTCCGCTCCGCTCCCGGAGCTTTCCGTTCTGGGCGGGGGGGCGGCGCGGTTAGTGGCGCTGATGTCACAGCAGGCAGGCAGCTGCCTATGGGGACGCGGTGGGGGCTGCAGAGGCCTCCCCGCGCTGACGCCCCTCATCTCGGGCTGCAGGTCGCTCGTGGGGCGCGGGGGCAGGACTGGCAGTTCGGTCAGCATCGGTGGACACTGGAGTCGCAGCCTCGCGGGGTCGTCCAGCTGCTCTGCTGTGTGCGGGACGACGCTTCTCCGTCCCCGGGGCTGCGGGCTGGCCTCCGTGTCCCCGAGTGACCGCACTGGGGGGTCCGGGCCGCTCCACCCACCCGTTCGGCCAGAGGGGCGGCCGCGTCCCCGTGGCCCGTGCAGCCTGAGAGGTGCTGCCCACCCAGGCGTGCGGTGCTCTCCCCCCCCTCACAGGACTTCCTCCCAGCGGACGTGCAGACGCAGTTCGCGCTCAGCCGCGAGCTGATCCGCAACGTGTACAACAGCTTCCACAAACTGCGCGACCGGGCCGAGCGCATGGCGTCCCGGGCCATCGACAACGCCGCCGACCTCCTCACCTTCGGGAGGGAGCTGAGGCAGGTGGCCCGGCTGGGTGCCCCGGTCCCCGGGGTGGGCTCGCTGCAGAGGGTGCCCCCGTTCTGAGCCGTCCCGCTGCAGGAGGGGGAGGGGAGTCTGGAAGAGCGCAGGCGGGGAGTCAGGCAGACAGAAGTGGATTCCCGCACGGGTGTGCGCCAGCTTCCCCTGGGTCGCTTTGCCCGTTGTCAGGATTAGCCTGAGACAGGTTGGTTTGACCGAGGACGGGACCCGCGGGCTGTGGATGCTCTGGAGGAGGGGCGGGGCCCCACCTGGGCTCCCCACCTGGGCTCCGCCCCTCGGCAGGCTCCAGGGCTGGCTTCCAGACCTGCCCTGCATGGGGCAGCAGGGTCCGGTGGGGGCAGCGGGCACAGCAGGCCTGGGGCCGAGGTCCCTCCAGCCCAGCAGGCTCCCGGCTTCTCGCAGCCGCTCTCTGAGGAGCGAGGGTCGGGGTCAGGAGGGGCGCAGGTGGCCCCGGGGTGACGTGGTGTTCGGGCCGGGGAGGCGTCCCGGGGTGAGGGCCCGGCCGTCAGCTCCGAGGCCCTGAGTGTCTCCTCCGCTGTCCTGCCCCCCTCAGTGCACTCGGGTCGGACACTACGCCACTGCCCTCCTGGGCCGCCCTGCACAGCAGCACGTGGGGGTCCCTGAAGCAGGCACTGAAGGGCCTGTCCGTGGAGTTCGCCGTGCTCGCCGACAAGGCCGCGCAGCAGGTGAGTGGGCGGGCGCCGTGCGGCGACCTGCAGAGACCTCGTCATCGCGGGGGGGCCCGTCTGCAGACCCGGTCACGTGAGGTGGGGGCTCACCTGGCTGCTTCTCTGCCGTGAAACTGGCACACGGTGTTTTGGTGAGGTCGGCTCCCTGGTCCTCGGGAAGGGCGTTTAGGCTGCTGGCAGGTGCAGTCGCAGCGACGTGCGTGTGAAGCCGTGACCGCTGTGGCTGCCTGACAGCGGGGGGGGGGGGTGCTGCAGCGGCGCATCTGGGGCTGTCCTGCTGGGGGCTGGTCGGGCTTCTGGGGGCGCTCGGGTGCCCCAGGTGCCTCTCGGTGCCGGCCGGGGGACCGGAGCTCGTTGCTGGTGTGGAAGGTCCTGGGCGCGCTTTCTCTGTGGCCCCGGTGCCTGCCCGCTCCCCCTTGCAGCCGATGTGGGGCTGTGTTGGTCTCCTGGAAGTGGTGCCGGACATGGGCCACCTCCCGGTCTGGCCGTGCCGGGGCCCGCGGGCGAGCTCAGGCGGCCCGGGCGCGGCACTGTCCCATGGGGGCCCCGCTCAGCGTGCCTGGTCTCTGTGCCCGCCTCCCCGTCTGCCGACAGCAGGCGGCCGGGCTGGCCACTGGAGACACTTCCGGTCCAGCCTGTCGAGCACAGAGCTTAGTCCGTGACACAGAGAAGGGAAGCTGTTCTGGTCGCAGGGACCTTGGCCTGCGACTGCGATAGCCCCCTCTGCCCCGGCAGCCCCCGGAGCTCGGGGCAGGCGCCCCAGTCCCTGAGGGCGGGGTGGAAGCCCCGCACCGGGTCATTTCTAACCCCTTCCCGATTGTGACTCGGACGCTGCTTCCACCCTGCGCCGGCAGCGGGGGCCGGCTGCTCGGGTGGTTCAAGGTCGTGCTGGGACGCTCCTCCCGGCCCCGAGGGTCTCTGGTCTGAGCTCGGGGGTCTGAAGAGGCGTCCCCTCCCCAGTGTTCTTGCTGTGCTTGGTGGCTGTCACCCCGAAGCGCAGTCGACAGCGTTAACTTGCAGCGGACCAGACCCCCGACCCTTGGGACTTCCTTCCGACGCAGCTGCAGCTCCGTCCCCCTCGCGCTGAGCCAGCGAGACGCCTGAGGGCCGGCGCCCCTCGGCCCGTGGCTGTGGGCCCTCCTGGGTTTGCCCCCCCTGCTCTGCTGGGGGGCCCGGGCACCTCTCCCCCCACTGGATGAGTGAGACGCAGCGGTGGCCAGATGCGTGTGCTCTCAGAGGAGGCACAGGTGTTGGCGGTTTAGGGTCTTGTGTGTCACCGGCCTGGAGCCGGGGCTTGCTGGCAGGAGGCGTGATCAGGAGGGGCCCCGCTACAGACCAGGGGAGGCTCCTCCCCCCGTGTCCTCACCCAGTTAGGACGGGGCGCCAGTGGCCACTGGGGGTTTTTCTGTGACCTTGCCCACCAGGCCCTTGGCTGCGGGCACATGGGCTCGAGGGGCCAGAACCCCTGAGCTTGGGGCCCTGCGGTGCCGGCAGGCCCTCTGAGTGCATGCGGCAGACAGTGGCCTTGCGACAGGGCAGGACGAGCACACGTGGCCTGGGGAATCAGGGTCCCCGATCTCACACAGCTTTGGGGTCCGGCGACTTCTCTGCCAGTGTCCGGCTGTCGTGTGGGAGGGCTCTCCGGCAGAGCCTGCCCCGCCTGGGGACCGGGTGATTCCGGCCCACCTCCCGGTCCGCTTGTGCGCGGCCCCGGGTGACGCATCCCTGCTTCCCAGGGCCGACAGGAGGAGAGCGACGTGGTGGAGAAGCTGAACCTCTTCCTGGACCTGCTGCAGTCCTACAAAGTGAGTCTGGGCCGCGCCCCGGGCAGGGCGAGCGCCCCGAGCGGCCCTGAGGGGGCTGTCCTGCTGGGGGGGGGGCAGCGGAAGAGGAGTCGGGGAGCCCGGCGCGGACCGCAGGCGGGCGGTGCAGTCTCCGGGGTCACTGTCCCTCGGCGGGTGCCGTGGGGCGCTCTGGGCTGTGGCCCCAGCAGGTGCCCCTGGGCCTGGGGCCTCCTGGTCTGAGGGCAGAGGGGAGTGTGAGCGTGTGTGTGTAAATGTACGTGTCTCTGAGTGTGCGTGTGCCTTGTGGGGACGGCACAGCTCTGCACACACCCGCGGGGCGGGCCCGGGGTCGCGTGTGCGTCTCTCCAGGCGGCTTTCTGCCTGTGGGGCCGGGAACCCTTCGTGCCGCGCATGGGAGCGCTGGCCCAGGGCTGCGGGAAAGTTCCAGAAAGGGCGCCGCCACTTGGGGGGCTGCTGCCATCAGGCGGCCACGGAAGCTCCAGTCCAGTGACTGTGTGGCCGTGGTTGCCCACGAGACTCCCGACGGGGGTGTTTCAGGGCCCGCGGGTGCCGGGGCACCTTCCTCCGCCGGAGGGGGGCGAGCCAGCGGCCCAGCCCAGTTGGCCCGTCTCTGCAGGGCGGCCCATCCTGCGTAGGGTGCGGGTGGTGGCTCCCCCGCGGGCCCCCAGGCTGAGCTGCCATGTTCTGTGGGCACTGTCTGAGCGAGGCGTGAGCGGGCGCGTGCGGACCGTTTTTAAGAGGAGACGCGGTTCTGGGAGAGGCCCCCCGCCCCGGCCGTGGACGGCGCCGGCGCGGGGCTGGGCCGCGCGCCCTCCCGCCCGCAGGGGCTGCAGCGCCGCTCTCCCCGCCCCCGCCCGCAGGACCTGTGCGAGCGGCACGAGAAGGGCGTGCTGCACCGGCACCAGCGGGCGCTGCGCAAGTACAGCCTGATGAAGAGGCAGATGAGCGCCGCCGCGCACGGCCCTGAGCCCGAGTCCGTGGAGCAGCTGGAGTCGCGCATCGTGGAGGTGCGCCGGGCGTGGGGGCTGGCCCGCCCCGGTGCGGGGTGCGGTGGACCCCAGAGCCGCCCTGCAGGCATCTGTGGCCGGTTCCTCCGCACCACTGGGCGCCTGGCTGGGCGGTGGGGCGGTGACGGGGCGGGGCTCCAGGGGGCGGGGCTCCAGGGGGCGGGGCTCCAGGGGGCGGGGCTCCAGGGGGCGGGGCTCCAGGGGCGGGGGCTCCAGGGGGCGGGGCTCAGGGGGCGGGGCTCAGGGGCGGGGCTCCAGGGGGCGGTGGCACGGTGGCCGGGCTGGCAGCAAGGGAGCCGTCTGTGCTGCAGCAGGAGAACGCCATCCAGACCATGGAGCTGCGGAACCACTTCTCCCTGTACTGCCTGCACCAGGAGATGCAGCTGGTCCACGCCTACCTGCCCCTCACCTCCCACATCCTCGGGGCCTTCGTCAACTCGCAGATCCAAGGGCACAAGGAGGTGGGCTCCCCGGCGACCCCCCTCCAACCCCCGAAGGCTTTCTTAGGGAAGTTAGTGGAGGTGGGGGGAGTACGCGACCTTAAACGTCGTCCGCACTGCCGCCTTGGGCGCAGCCTCGTGCTCCTCCTGGGGTCATCCTTGGGACTCCCTGGAGTGCCGGGCGGTGGTGGGGGAGCAGAGCGAGACTGCAGGAACAGGCCCTGTCTTCTGCAGGAGCTCAGGGGTCAGGAGCCAGGGACGGCATGGGAGTTCTCGGAACCGAGATGAGGGTGGGTGGGGATGAGGGGGAGGAGCGGGTGGGGGGAGCTGGGGCGCCTCCCTGCTCCTGGGTCCGTGGGGAGAACCACCAAGGCTCCTGCCGGACTCTGACCTGGGCTCCTCCTGGGCCCCTGGGTGGCCTCAAGGGTGCGAGCACCCCTTTGGCAGGTGCTCTGCTGGCAGCCCCTCCCCAGCTGCTGGGCCTGGGGGAGCGTCTCAGGCTTGGGATTTCGGAAACCTGACGGAGCCCAGCCCTGCGCCCGTCGCCTGTTTTGGGCTCTGGGGCTGTGGCTGGACCGTCACGTCTGTGGCCGGTTTTCTGTCCGAAGAAGGGCGTGAAGCCCAGTGGCCTGGGGACACCCCCAGCCTGGGGGACTGCGGGGACTGAGCCTTGAGCGGCCCTTGGTCTGTGGCTGGGCTGGGTGCAGGGCTGGGCTCCCCAGCCCTTCTCCAGGGACCATGGAGACTCCTGCGGAGTGGCAGGCCAGGGAGGAGGGGGCCCAGCCCGCTCTGCTGAGAGCGCTCTGTGCGCGGTGCATGGGGCGAACTGGGAGCCGCAGCTCACAGGGGCGGCGGCGACAGCAGGGGAGCCGGGTGCAGGTGGGGAGCTGTCTGTCAGCAGGCGGAGCTCGTCCGTCCAGCCGGAGGCGGCTGTGGCCGACTCAGTGGACAGCCGAGACCCTGGTCTGGAAGCCGGAGAGGCTGTTCGGCAGGCAGGTCCCGGGGTGCAGACGCTGCCAAGGCGACGGCTGCTGTCTCCGGGGCCAGGCCTGGGGGTGTGCTCTCCGTGGGGCACCAGGTGACTTAGGGGTGGGAGGACCCGGCCGGACAGCAGGTGAGCCCGGGTCGCACCCGGCTCAGGTGGATGGGACCCCGGTCCTCTGTTGTAGGTGACGACTGGTCCGCGTTCTTGTGACGCAGAGACTGGACCCTGCTGGACCTGCACGTCCCCAGGGCCACACTCTGCTGTTCGGTGGTCACCTGGGCCGCTCGGCCGCCAGGGCTGACCTTGGAGCCCCGCCCACTGCAGAGCCTGCCTGCCCCTGGGGCCCCGTGTCCCTTGCTCGCTGCAGAGCGGGGCAGGTGCGGTGGCGCGCCCCCTCCCTCCTGCACTTCGTTCCCCTGCGGGCGCCCGGCGGACGTTGCCCTGGTGTCTGCCCTGCTGCGCCGGGCGGCGCTGGCAGAGCTGTCCGAGAGCGCGCCGGAGACAACACGGTGCTGCTCAAACCTCTGTGCCCAGCAGGCTCGTGCCTCTTTGTCCCGTGTGCAGGGGACACAGGGACCAGCCATCTGTCACCTCTGGTTTGGGCCCGCTCTTACTCGGGGCTTTGCCTGCGGAGGAGCGGGCCACGACGCAGGGAGTGGGAAGGGCAGTTCGGGGGCAGGTGACCCGAGGCCGGCGGTGGCAGGTCCCCTCCCGCCCCAGCCACTGGGCGGGCTGCCTCTGGGCGTGGCGTGAAGGGCTGTGCGCACCTGCCCGGCTGACCCTGCCCCTCCCCCTGCAGATGAGCAAGGTGTGGAACGACCTGAAGCCCAAGCTGCACTGCCTTTTCGTCGGGCCCAACAGCACCCTGACCCCGCCGAGGTCCCCGAGGGATGGCCTGTCTCCTCACTAGCGCCGAGGGGACCCGGCCCCCCACTAAAACCTCTTTCCCAACGGTGTGTCCCTGTTCAGTTCCCTCCGGACGGCGGCTGCTCCCCGGGTCCCGCCAGCTGCCACCCCTGGAGCAGAAGAGCTGACATCAGAGCTGGTGGGGCTGGGGTTCGGGTGGCTCCCCTATCACCGAGGGAGCGGGGCCAGAGATGCTACCCCCCAGGTCTCCGAGCGTCTGTGGGAGCTGAGGCCACATGGGGTCTGTGGCAGTTGTCCCCGGCCTGGCACTGTGGCCTGTGAGTCGGGTGCTAGGATTCCTTGGGGTGGTTTTCCCTTGACACCCAGAGGGCAGGGTGGCCAAGGACGGCTCTCCTGCCAGTGGGGCCTGGGGGCTGTGCTGGGACCCTCTTTCGTGGGGCCTGAGGCTGGAAGGGCGCAGGGGGATGGGTGGTGGGTCTTGTTCCGGTTGGGGCCGAGGGCCAGCGAGTGGCCTGCTGCTCTGAACCTTCCAACCGACCTCCTCAGGCGAACGGGACCCTTCTCCCAGACTCTGCCGCACTTGCTGCCCCAGCCACCTGCTCCGAGGGCAAGGGTACTGGCGCTCCGGCAGCTCTGGGGGTGGGAGTGGGTGCGTCCTGCTCCTGAGAGAGAGCTCGGAGCAGTGGGGCCCTCCTGGGACAGGTGCTGGGGGACGTTCTGACGCCCCGTGGGATCTCGGGGGGCCCGCCTTCCAGGGCTGCCTGGCAGCCCTGGGCCGTCCCCCCGTGTGCCATCCTGTGGCGTGGTATCCAGGACCCCGAGCCCAGGTGGGCTCTCGGGTGACACACCTGCAGACAGTCTGTCACAGGTCACCCTCCGGGGCAGGGGCCCTGGGGCACACCCCATGCTGGGCTCTGTCTATGGGGAGGCAGCCTCGGGGGTGCAGGGAGATGGCTGCTTGCTGCACCAGCCCAAGGTCCCCCTGCGGCCGACACGTGCCTTCCTGGGCCGAGGAGCGGGGCCGCGTCCCCCAGTGCCTGGCAGGGGGTCCCCGCTGTTGGCTTTCAATCTATCGCTGTCTTTAGAGACGGGTCCTCAGCCACGAGGACCGGGCCCGTGCTGCCACTTGAGGCCAGTCCCTCTTGGTGCCGTGTGTGCCTGAGCTGTCCTGTGACCAGCCCACCTCCGCCCTGCCCCTCGAAAGCTGCTGCTCACTGTCTGGGGCCTGTCGCAGGTGACGGGCCAAGGGGCGGCAGGGAGCGTGACCCAGGGCAGACGGAGGCCCTGCTCGTGCAGGTCATGAGGTGCCACGTGCCGGGCTGCAGGCCTGCCCCCTCTTGCGGCCCCGGGGAGCCAGCCCGCTGCCACAGCCTCGCCCCCAGCAGGGACAGGACCCCCTCCAGCGCCAGCCTTCCTGCTCCCAGCAGGCCAGAGCCTCAGCGACAACGCTGCCTTGGCCCGGCCCGCTGAGCCAAGCCCTCAGCAGCTACCAAAGACAATCGTCGCCGTGGTCCAACCCCCCTCCGGAGCCGGGTCGGGGGAGGGCGTGTGGGACTCGGCTGACCGCTGCCAGGGCGTGTGTGTCTGGGGCCCTGCCTCTCCTGTGCCTGGGTCAGCCTCACACGGGACACACTTGACCCCCTGGCCACACGGGTCCACAGCTCCCACACCCAGCTAATGGAACTGTTTACAAGTGGCCCGCATTCCGAGATCTTCATCGACTAACACAACTATTATTAAACATATTTATAAAAGTTGGGAAAAGTCGTGCATTCTTTGTGGAAGTGGGAGGTGCCCCCTCTCCTAGTTGGAAGCCTGGAGAATGGCCTCCCGTCCCTCTTGGGCTGAGGAGTGGTGACCGGCCTCCAGGGTGGAGCTGACTGGAGCTGTAGCCCTGGGCCCTGGCTGTGCCTCGGTTTCCCCTAGTGTGACATGCACAATCACAAGGGTGCGGAGGACATAGGTGCTGCTCACCTCTGTGACCCTAACAGGAGCCTGTGGCACTGTCCTCATCAGGGCCAGCCCCCTCCACCCGCAGCCACTCCAGGACAGTCACAGGAGCTGTCCCTGTCCCCTGGCCTGTGTCCCTCACCCTGTGCCCAGTGGCATGGCCACAGCCAAGGACATCCGGCAGCTTCCTGAGGACGAGCCTGGGCTGGCAGTGGGGGGGGGGGGCTGGTGAGGAACGTTGAAAAAGCAAAAGACGTTTATTACATTTCCCTTCCCCTCCCATCGAGTTCCAGACGGGGAACCCGGCCGTGGCAGGGCCCAGTTCCGCCTCTAGGCGTCGGCCACCTCGCGCAGCTGGTAGTCCAGGATGGTGTCCTGCCCCTGGAACTTGAAGTACCCGTGGAACTTCCTCTTCTGAAGCAGGAGGGGGAACCAGTAGCTGTCGTCGGGCCACATGTCGGCAAAGGGGATCCGGTCCAGCGGGAACCACTGAGGCCGCATCTCTGGAGCGGGTGGGAAGAGCGTGCGCGACGGTCGGCAGAGACTCAGACCGGCCTCCAGGGGGCGCCCGTGCGCGTGATGGGCCGGGACGGGAACCCTCCCGGCTGCCCGGCAGAGGGGGAGGTGGGGCGGGGCTGCGCCGGCCCGCGGACTCACTCACCGTCGCTCTCCGCCGGGGTCCCCTGGACGCTGTCGGCGCGGAAGATGTGCACGTCCATGCGCTCCGGCTGGCCCTCGAACTCGAACTCGATGCGGCCTGCTTTGTGCAGCGTGTCCGCGGTCACGCCGCACTCCTCCTGCAGCTCCCTGCGGAGAGGCGGGCGGGGGTGAGGGCCACAGCTGGAGCGCGGGCTGCCCACGCGGAGGCCGGAGCCCGGCGTGGCGCCGGGGGACGCAGAGCGAGTATTTGGATCTGTGAACACGGCCGGGGAGCTGCGGCACGAGGCGAGGGCTGGACCCCAGGAGGGGGCCCTACCCTGCGAGGCTTTGCAGTTCTCCCAGACCTCTTAGGGCTGGCCGGTTCCGAGGTCTGGGAGGGGTCGGGGTCGGGGTCGGGGTCGGGGTCGTGACCCTGTTGGTTCGGGGGCACAGGACTCACTGGCCTGCACAGCCTGGGACCCTGCGGCAGCCCAGGCCTGGCTGGGCTCCACTGCTCGGTCGGTCCTGGAAGGAGGCTGGTAGAGCCAGGACCCCCTGCAGGCTGCCAGAACCTGGGCCCGGAACCGGAACCGGAGCCTTCCCACGGGAGGGGTTGTCCTTCCTCACCCCACGCTGAGAGCACAGCGCCGCCCTGCAGGCCGCTGCTGTTCTAACCTCTGTTCCGACAAGGAAACCCCTTGCCCTGTAGCAATGTCTCCGTGGTTGATGGGACGCCCTGCCTCGGTCCGCCCCCCTTCTGGCCTGTTCTGGCCTCGGCCGCGGCGCTTGCAGGGGAGTAAGGGTCAGTCTCACACCAGCACAGCCGGGGTGCCCCAACCACGCCAGTGTGGCGCCGACTTAAAAATGTCTCGTTACACGTTCGTCCCAGACAATCTGGCCAGCACCCTTGGCTGCCCCCCCCCCCCCCGGGAGCCTTGTTGCCATTCCAGCACTTCCCCTGGGGTGTTCCTCCTCCGACAGCCCTGCCGGAAGCTGCAGACAAGGCCCACTTGGCTCCCTGGCGCACTGCAGAGCAGCGCTGTGAGCCTCATCACAGACCGACACACAGTTTCAGCTTGCTGACAGCTTCAGCTCGCTCTGCACGCAGCTGCCTTGGGCTCCAGGCACCGCAGGCGCTTTCTGGACGGTCTGTGCGGGACTCTGGGGACCAAGGCCACTGCCACCCTGGAGCTCCACTCTGCTCAGGGACTCTCACTTCCCCGCTGCCCTGTGTTTGTTTTTGTAAGTCTTCTAATTATGCCTGTCCATTTACGGTTGTGTGTAAAGGGGTTTTTAGCTTCATCTCCTGGGGCCGAGGAGTGTAATGCTGTTACTTGTGTGCCTGCTGCAGGAAGTCAGGGAAGACGCTTGGTTCATCAAAAACACGCAGGTCGGGGTGAAAGGGCCTGGTTTCAGCGGATCTGCTGTGACCTTCCTGGAGGCCCGGGACAGCTTGCACCTGCGGCCCTTTCAGCCGGACTTGACTCGCTCACTGGGATGGTGAGTGGAGATCAGACTTCACCTGAGAGACGCAAACATGCTCTCAGCTGGGGCGCACGTGGCTCCCCAGGTAAAAGAACGAGAGCTCACCGGGCCCCGCCTGCCCCGCCGGCAGCAGGCAGGCGGGCCTGTGCTTGGAACCCTTCGCCTCCTGACTGTGTTTTGACGGGTGTTGGTGACTCTCCCCAGCACGCAGCAGCGTGTGAAGTGCCAGTAAGCCCTCGGCGCTGGCGGGGCCGTTGCTGGGCACCGCAGGCGGGACAGCGCTGCTGCCCCTTTGCACAGCGCCTGGTCCTGTCTGCGGGGCTGGCCCCCGGGGGCAGGTGCAGAACTCAGAACCCAGCAGCCACCCCTCCTCTGGCACCACCCCTGGCCCCTGGCGTTCTCTGAACAGGGCGCTCTGCGTCCTCACCACTCTGGGGGCCCGCAAGGGTGCTGGCCAGAAAGACGGGGACGCCCACCCTCCTACAGCCCAAATGGACTCTCTGAGGGGCTCCCGCCACCTGGAGAACACGTCCTCCTTGCAGCTCAGGCCCCCCGTCCCCGGACGGTGGGTGGAGTGTGGAAGGGACTCCCACACATCGCCCTGAGCCCACGGGCGAGCGAGGCTCTTGGACGACGGTTCCTTCGGGACCCAAAAGGGCAGCTCAGTGGATAAAGTGACACTGAGTGCTTGTGACCTCGGCCACAGACTCACGGCAGAAGTCACTGCTGGGGCCGTGTTCGCCTGCCCTGCACCTGTCCCTCTCCCCCCACAGGGCAGGGGCATGACAGTCGGTCCTTCGTTCGAGGTGTCCTGACTCTTAGCTCTGCCTCTGCCCCCCACACTGCAGGCTGGTGCCCCGGAGCTCTAGGGAGAGGAGCGGGGTCTTGGAGAGAGCTCCTCAGTGATGACCGGCGGCCCTGGAGCCGGCGTGGTGGCCAACGGTCTCCACGGCTGAGTGGTCTCAGTGAGGGGGCAGCGTGGGGCCCTGGACACTCCCGGGAACAGTGTTTTCCAGGGGCAGCCCCGGTGGATGCTCCGTCCGAGAACGAGCCTCCTCCACAGCCCCACCTGCTGGAGGAGGCCCTGAAGTGCAAAGAATCGTGACCCTCTGAGCCAGTGCGGGAGACCTTTGTCAGCTGACAAAGCTGTCAGCCTGCAGGGCTCTGTGCCCCGGGGTGAGGTCAGGACAGAGGAGAGGAGTGAGGCTGGCGGTTCCTCAGCGAGAAGGAAAGCGAGGGGCCAGGAGCTTCCATCTGCACGAAGAGCACAGGAAGAGCGCTGAGGAAGGAACACACCGAGGCAATGCAGTTTATTTTTGTCATCCTAACTGCTCTCACGGACGAGTGTCTGAACCGCCAGCAGCACCGCACCTGCTCATGCGTGCATCCCAGGTGTGTTTTTGTGCTGCTGTGGCTCGTCCGTGACGGCCGCGGCCCAGGGGCGGGCGGGGGGTCGTGGGGTGAAGCAGCCTCGGCGCCGGGACTCGGGTTAGATGCCAACGTGTCACAGACTCCAGGGCGACCAGTCACGCGGGTGAAAGAGAAGGACAGCAAGGTGCTGAGCAAGAAGATGCGTCGTGTGGAATGCCCAACTGAAACCACCAACGGCAGAGGGACGTGGAGGACAAGGGCAGAGACAAGGGGCGGGACAGGAAGGAGGATGGCGCCCGGAGAGCAGGAATGAGTTTGGTGGACGACATCAGGAGGGGCCGTTGCCCTGGACGCAGGGGGTCCGAGAGTGCCCGTTCAGAGCCTGGCAGAGTGGGTCGGGAAACAGGCCCCAGCCGCGCTCTCCACCAGGGACACCCGCTGATTCAAACAGATTCAGTATAAATAGTGAACAGCACAGAGACGCCCCGATGGAAAGTAAGCGGTGGAGTCCTGGCTGGTGCGGCTCAGGGGACTGAGCGCCAGCCTGCAAACCCAAGGGTTGCGGCACAGGCCTGGGTTGTGGGCCAGGTCCGCTGTTGGAGGTGCGTGAGAGGCAACCACACACTGATGTTTCTCTCCCTCTCTTCCCCTCTGTCTAAAATAAAATCTTCATTAAAAAAAAACAAAACAAACAGGCAAAAGACATGAGCGGACACGTCACAAAGAAAACAATAGCTGAGCAGCCAGCCAACACAGCAGGTGCTAAGCTTTGTTCTTCACTCGGGCAAACAGTTAAAACCTCGGCGATGCCCTGGCTGGTGTGGCTCAGTAGACTGGGTGCCAGGCTGCAAACCAAAGAGTTGCCGGTTCGGTTCCCGGCCAGGGCACATGCCTGGGACTTGAAAAGCAGGACGCACGAGTCCGTGGGTCACTTCAGGGAGCACAGTTACCCTGGCAAGCTGACACTATGCACTGGGACAGACTCAGATGCTCCCCTTAGGGGAGTACCCACCAGGAAAGGGGGCATGTGGGCATTGGCCCAGCAGGTGGAAAGGCACGTGGGCACAGGCCGTGAGGGTACTGTGGTGCTGAGAAACTGAGGTGCAAGGGTTGGGTGCCTGCTCCAGGTCACAGGACTCAAGGTGGTGAAACCACGGGCCTGGCTCTACAGCTGGAACCGCCCCCCCTGCGGAACCTGGCCCCGGGGTCAGGCTCGCCTCTCCCTCACCTCTTGGCCCCGTCCTCGATGGTCTCTCCCTCTTCGACTTTGCCCCCGAAGCCGTTCCACCGGCCGGCGCCGAAGCCCCGTTTCTTCATGCCCAGGAGAACTCGCTCAGGCTGCACCACCAGCACCAGGGTGTAGAGCCTGGAGGCGCCCATGGAGCCCTGGGGTTCTAGGAGGAAGGCAAAGGAGCCGGGGTCAGCGGGACTTGGGCGCGGACGGGTGTGGATGGAAGCCCGCGTCCGCGGCGGGCCGGGGGGAACGGGAGCGTGCTCCGGAAGGCAGGGAGGGGGAGCTGCTGGTAATTTCCCAGCTCCGCACGCGGGGCTGGCCCGCCCCTGAGCTCCTGATCTGGGGGAGAAAGCGGGTCAGGCGGTGGCCCACCTTCCCCTCCCCGCCGGCTCCCGGCAGCCGCTGGTCCGGCCCCGCGCGGCCGCAGCGCGTCTGCAGGAGCAGGGGCGGTCCAGTCCCCGCGCTCATCCGGCCCCAAGATAAGCGTCGGTTTATCCGACGGCCCTCCGAGCCCGCCCCCGGACGCCCTGCCCCCCTCACCCCGTCTCACCCGCCCCCTCTCCCCCCCTGGCGCCCCGGGCCCCCCCTTCCCAGGGCCCAGCTTCCCGGCGCACCTGGCCGGTGTTTCCCGCGCGCTCTCCCTTCCGCGCGCCGCGTCTGGGGGCGTGGCCTAGGGCCGGAAGCGGGGCCGGCACTTCCGGCGGCGCGAGCCGGTGGCGCCCATGGCGGGGTGAGCAGTGCCGGGGCGCGCGGCCGTGCGCTCGGCGGCGCTTATGGGGCGCCTGCTGCATGCACGCAGGGGGCGGCAGTGGCCGGGGCCCCAGCCCAGGTGTCCTCGTCCGGAGGGACGCAGAGCCCACCTCCGCCGTAGCCGGGACTCGGTCCGCCCGGCGCGGTGCCCGGAGGAGGCCGGCGAGCAGTCGGCGAGGCTGCGGGGAGCGAGGGGCGGGCAAAGAGCTGGGCAGGGTTTTAGGAGGAGGAGGGGGCAGGTGAGGCGGCCCCGGAGGCGGAGGCGAAGCCGGCAGGCCTGAAGGCCGTGGCGCAGAGCTCCTGAGAGAGGGGACGCTGATGCGGCCGAATCCGGGATGCGGGTGGGGGTGGAGGGGGTCAGCTGCCCCAGTCAGGGGGTGGGTTTGCGTAACCCCAGAGTCCACCCCTCCCCGGGGCGCCCACGACCCCTTCAGTGTGAACTTTGGGCCTCGCAGCTCAGTCCCTACGCCTGCTTTTGGGCTGTGGCTTGGTCAGGTGGCCTCCTCTCCTGGGCCCCATGCCCTGCCTCTAAAAACGCGCGGGTTGCACCGAGGGCCCCACCAAGCTCAGGACTTCTGGTGTGTGATGCCCGACTGCCTGCCCCCTTTCCCTCGTCAGGTCCTGGAAGCGGGTGTGCGCTTCCCTTGGGCGTCACGGCTTCCACACTGCTGGGGGTCACTACAAGGCTCGGACCGGCGCGGAGCACCAGTGGCTGATGCGGCAGTTGAAGGACCCGTTCGTGAAGGCTGCGAAGGTGGAGAGTTACCGGTGTCGAAGCGCCTTCAAGCTTCTGGAGATGGATGCGAAGCACCGGATCCTGCGGCCAGGCCTCCGGGTGTTAGACTGTGGGGCGGCCCCTGGGGCATGGAGCCAGGTGGCTGTGCGGAAGGTCAACGCTGCAGGCACAGGTGGGGTCTCCTGTAGATCTTAGGGTCAGTGTGAGTCTGTAGAGGCCTTGAGCCCGAGGACCGAGGACACAGCAGCTGAGCTTATTTTTCTGCTTCACGTCCATGACCTCACCCTCCAGGGCTGCTAGGTCCTGGTCCCTAAAGCCCTCCCTCTCCTCCAGGTCCCTCTGGGGCTGCTCCACTCTCACAGCTGGGGCTCCAGATTCTCAGCTCTGGCTCAGCTGGAGGGACCCTGCTTTTATCTTTCCTATTTTCAGGGTTTTATAATAAAAATTTTATTTACTTACTTTTAGAGAGAAGGGAAGGAAGGGAGAAAGTGAGGGAGAGGAATATCCATCAGTTCTCTCTCTCGCCCCCTGCTGGGGACCCAGCCTGCAACCCAGGCATGTGCCCTGACTGGGAATCGAACTGACGACCGTGTGGTTCGAACGCAGGCTGGTGCTCAATCCACTGAGCCACACCAGCCAGGACTTTTTTTGAAGAATGTATAAAAAAGGTTTTCCTGATTAAAAAAAAACAACAGGTAAACCAACACTCACACAACTTAGAAAACAATGTCACCCTTTTGAACAGGTGCTGGTGGTACTGTCGCCTCATCTGGGGCATCCGGCCACCATGCTGCGTGAGGGTCCTTGCCCCCTGCACTTCCTGCGATAGCATCTGAGGGTCCTGTGTGCACTGGCGTGCATCAGTGCGACACGTGGCAGCTCACAGAGGCCTCTCCTGGACACCCACGAGTAGGCACTTGTGTTCATTCTCCCCGTGAGGACACAGACGGTCAGGGGAGCGCAGTGACCAGCAGGGAGGCAGCCCCGCTGCGGGGCTGGGGCGCCGCAGGGGCCCCGAGAGAAGCAGTGTTTTTAGCTCCAGTTCTCACTGGCCAGTGAGTGGATCTGGGTCCGGAAATTCACTGGCACCACCAGCCTATCCGGAGACCCAAGTCCAGTGGCTCCCCTCTCCCAAGAAGCAGGAGGATGGCCTAGTTTAACTTCCTTTTTTTCCCAGAAGTTGCCCACCGGCACCCAAAGCCATTTGCTTGTAGTGGCCACTCCCTGAGGTCGTAATGTGGGACGCTGTGGAAACAGAGTACCATGCGTGAAGCGAGGTACGCGGTGTCCCACTTTCCAGGGCTGAGAGGGCAGAGTTCTGGCTTTTGTGAAATGAGGTGCTCCACCAAGTCCGAGGATGTCCAGTCTCTACGTAGAAATAAAACACATTTCCCTTCCCTCTGTGGAACAGCCTTATTACTAAACAGGCTGAACAAATCTGTGACTGCCCTGAACTTAACAGCCTTCACGTGTGCCAGCAGAATGAACTCAGAGTAGGGAGGTGACGCAGAGAGGGGACACTGGGCTTGTGAGAGTGGGGCTTTTGCAGCCTGAGAGCAAGGGGAGGGAGGCGGGGACCGCAGTGTGCAGGCTAAAGGTCTCATTTTAGGTAAAGTGAAACAATGACACCTTTTTACTTCACAACTGGTGGCTCTCTAACAGGGTCAAGGTATCAGTTTCCGACCTTATCCTGTATCTGTACTTTCCCCCAAATTTTGGCCACTGTCTAATGAAAGAGTTTGGCTGAAGCTGCAGAATGCATTTGTTGACTTACCCAGAGGCACTTCAGTGTGTCACTTCCTATTGTGGGTTATCTAAAGAGCAGTGGGAGATAAGGAGGCCCGCAGCAACCTCACGGGGGAACGGATGAGCGGAATCTGAGCCGCAGACAAGCCCTAGGTGCGGCTCCTGGCCCGCCTTTCTCCCTGCCGCGGGCACTTCGCCTCTCTGGGCCTCTGCTGCCTCTAGTGCAGAGTGAAGGACCACCGCGCCACTTGTGTTCTTGCAGGATGGATACAAAGTGGGAAAAGGCCCGGTCTGCCTGTTTGCACATTAGCTCTTTTCCTTGGCCCTGATTCTTTATTTCGTTACTTTGTTGCACATACTTTTACGGGGGAAACCAGGGTGTAGATAAACCATTCATTCACCGTTTCTTCCTTAGATCCCAGCAGTCCTGTTGGCTTTGTGCTGGGGGTAGACCTTCTTCACATATCACCGCTGGAAGGAGCAACCTTTTTGTGCCCTGCTGATGTGACGGACCCAAAAACCTTCCAGAGAATCCAAGGACTGCTTCCTGGTGGGACAGCAGATGTCCTTCTGAGCGACATGGCACCCAATGCCACAGGGATCCGGGGCCTGGATCACGACAGGCTCATCGGACTGTGCCTGTCCCTTCTGGACATGGCTCCACAGATCCTGCACCGAGGGGGGTCATTCCTTTGTAAAACCTGGGCTGGGAGTCAAAGCCATCGGCTGCAGAAGAGACTGACCGGGGAGTTCCAGAACACCAGGACGCTGAAGCCTGAAGCCAGCAGGAAAGACTCTGCAGAGGTGTACATCTTGGCCACGCAGTACCGCCCGCCAAAAGGGTCTGGGAAGGGCTGAGCACTCCTCCGCCGCTGCCGGTCCTTTTCCCCGCGAGTGCACACGGGACAAGTGGGGGACCTTGTTCTTCAAAGGGGAAAGAACAAGACTGTGTTCAGTGGCTGTGATAAAAAACAAAAAACAAACAGCCCGTCCCATGACTTGTGAAGAGGGTGTTCCGTGAGAAAGAGACAAGGTGAAAAGATGGGAAGACCGGCTGCGAGGGAAGGACAGAAATGCAGGAGGCAGAGCTGGAGAGTGGCTCAAGCCTTCAGGCTCAGCTCTCACCCGCAGACTAGCGGGTTACCCAGCAACGGGTCCCGCCCGCGCTCCAGGCGCAGCGCAGGTTTCAGGGGTGGTTGTGGCCATTCGTATAACGGAGAAAAGTCTGAACTTTCAGTCTGGGAATGATTTCCATCTGTCTGGTGAATGGTCTGGAAAGACATCCGTTCTTCCAGCAGCGAGAATTCCCAGGACAATTAGGGAGGGCGTTTGATGTGAATTTGTGCCCGGGGTGGGTGTGCTTTAGTTTTTGCTGGAGTCCACGTTGCTGTAACACGCGGGCTCCCCGGACCATAAATGTGATTGCCTCCGCGAGCGGCGGTGCGGTGTGTTTGTGCGTCTCCTTTCACTCCTCCAGGGCTCCGTGCCGCTCCATAAAAGCACGTGGGCTGTACGGTCCGAAGGGATGGCCGTGCCGCTAAGTTTGTTTTTGTAACAAGGGTACAGCGTTTTTCAAAGCAGTTTTCCCTCCATAAGTTTACTGACGAGCGATGATCGAATCCCGAGGACCCAGGAGTTTCCCTCCGGGCCTCCGGCTTAGTCCCGCTGCCCGAAGGGCACCGCAGGACGGAGTTTCATTTCTCATGTCATTTCACGTGGGAGTCCAGACATCGCGCCATCCTGCCTCCACGACAGGCCGCCCCTCCGGGTCCCGTGCGTTGGGGGGGCCACACGAACGCGTGTTTCGTCCTCTGGAAGAAGGGGATTCGGGGCGGGCGGCCGGGAGGAGAGGGGACTCGAGTCCCCGGGCGGACCGAGGTTGCTGCCCCTGAGCGGGGGGCAGTGCTGGCTGTGACCCGGGGAAGGGGGCGCGGGCGCGGGCGCAGGCGCAGGCGCAGGCGCAGCGCTCTCCGCTGTACGCAGGCGCCCTGCGCGGAGGGAAGTACGGCGGCGGCACGATCTCGGCAACAGCCGAGCGTGCCGAGGTTTGGCGGTGCTATTCCGCACAGTACGGCGCGGGTGGGGGCCCCGACGGTCCCGGGGGCCGCCCGCGGGGTCTGCGCCCGGCCGCACGAGTGCCGGGGGAAAGAGGACTGGGGAGCTCGCGGGTCCGTGGGTCCGCGCGCCGCCTCCCGGACCCGCGGGGCAGAGACCGGCGCTGCGCGGCCAGCCCCGCCTCGGTCTCGCGAGAGCTCAGCCCCTCGTCTCGCGATACGCGGGCAGAGAGGAGGGAGATCTGAGCTGCGACTGCGGCGGCGGGCTGACTGGGCCGGTGAGCTGAGGGCCGGGGCCGGCGGGCGCCGGGAGGGCCCGGCGGGGCTGAGCCGGGGGGCCGGGGGCCGGGGGGCTGGGGGGCGAGGAGGGCGGGCGGGCGGCCCGAGGGTCGGGACCTGGGCCCGGCTGCCGCCAGGCTGGGCACCGCCCCCTCCGTCCTCTCGGGGCTCGGACCCGGCGGCCCCTCCGCGCCCCCCTCGCGTGTCTCTGTGTCCCTCCGCTGTCCCCACTGCCCTCCTGTGTCCCCGCGTGCCTCCCACGTCCCTCGTCACCTCTCCTGTCCCTGTCGCCTCCACCGCCCCTCGCCCTGCGTCCCCCGGCTCCCCGCCGCCCCTGCGCGCCCGGGCCAGGCCGAGCCCCGGTGCTCTCCGCGCCCCCGCGGGCCCCAGGGTTTCCTCCGGGAGAAGGCGCCTCCGGACCCGGCCGGTGTCCTCGAGGCTGGCGTGCCACCGAGCGGGGTGCTCGCGAGGCGCCCCCGGGGCCGTGGGGTGGGAAGCGGCGCCCGCGCCCGTCGCCTGCGCGTCCGCCGGGGAGGCGTAGGGGTCGCTGCGGCTCCGCGCCGCGGCCAGGTGGGCGGGGACGCGCGGGCCGCCGGCCGCCGGCAGCTGGGACCGGGCGTTTCGCCCCCGTGTGAGCGCGGGGAGCGCAGCGAAAGCCCGCGGGGGCTGGCCCAGCGGCGAGGTGCGGAGCGCCCGGCGGGTTCTGTGGGTCTCCCTGGGCGTCCCCCTGCCGAGGAGCAGGCGCCGGGGCCCCGCGACGGCAGCGCGGGCTCGGAGGGGCCGGGCCGCCGCCGGAGTCGGGTCTCGCAGACGGAGAGCGCGGAGTCCCGCCGCCGCCGCCGCCGCGCGCCCGGCGGGGCGGCTCCGTCCAGGCACCGGCCCGTGGGCGCGGCCTCGAGTGTCCGCGGCGCCCGCTCTCCCCGGGACGGGACGGCATCTCGAGAGAGGGCGGGCTGGCTGCCGTTCCCGTCCTGGGGTGGCAGGTGGGTCCCGGTCCAGCGCCCCCTTCCGGTCCGATGTCCGCTGAGAGTGAAGGGCCGTGGGGGTGCGCGGGCCGGGGAGGGAGTGACAGCCGGCGGCCGGCGGGGCTCTGCGAGCGCACGGCCTGGGCGCTTAAGAAACGGGAGGTCAGAATCAGAGGAAGGGTCCGCGCTTCCTGCTTTCTTTTCCTTTTGGGGGGGTGGTGGTGCAGGGGAGATCTGCGGGAGCCAGCTTCTCCTAAGGGGTCAGTAGTCGCCACCTGAGGGAAGTCAGCCTTTGGCTGTTAACTGCCGGGGACGCTCTGTCCAGCAGGGCCGGTAGCGCTGGGTGTGAGGCCAGAAGCAGCGCAGGTTTGGGGGTGTTTGGCAGGTTCCTGGCTGCTGCCTGTCCTCAGCCTTCCTGCGTGGGCTGGGGAGCACAGCCGACCTGTGCAGCCAGGAGACCCGGGCTCCAGGCTCAGCGCTGCCGCTTTAAAAAAAGAGGTTTGGTTTATTTTTAGAGAGAGGGCGAGGGAGGGAGAAAAGAGGGGAGAGAAACACGGACTAGCTGTGTGCCTGCCGCACGCCCCCACCTGGGGACCCGGCCTGCAACCCCGGCACACGCCCAACCCCCCGGCTGGGAGTCCACCCAGAGCCGCCTTGGTTCACAGGATGACACGGACCCGCTGAGCCACAGCAGCCAGGGCTCTGTCCCCTCCTGAGGTGCCTTGTGTCGGAGCACGCGAGGCATGGCCGTCAGGCTGGGTGGTGGCAGTCGCACCAGCTGTCCCCGGCAGACTTCCCCTGGACACTGTGACCTGCACAGCTGCCCTGCAGGGCACCCCTGGGGAAACTGAGGTTCGAGGAGTCTTGGTGCCAGCAAACGTCAAACAGCTTTCTTTTTTGGCACTTACTTGCTTGGAAAAAACAGGAGTAACGTATTAACGTCGCCGTTTACCAAGTTAGCATTGCTGTGGCCGTGGTCATCCTCGTGGCCAGTGTTCCCGGCAGCTGGGCGTTGGGTGCGGGTGTCTGTGGGGGACTGCCGCCCGCCTGCCTCGCCCCTTTTCCCGGGGGCGGTCTGTCCGTCCGGGTGGGGGTCGGGCCCCCCCCTGACAGTGGCTCGGTGGCGTGCTGGCTCTTTACGCCTCTGTTTCTCCTCTGGTGAGTCGGCAGTCCGGGCTCCCGGTTGATGCCGAAGGGTGTGGTTAGGGGCCCTGGAGAGTCTGCAGGGCGCTGAGGGGGTGCTAGGGCAGCGGGGTTCCTCGGGCAGCTGGTGGAGCTGCCCCCGCGTGGCAGGGGCCACCGTGACCCTCCCTGTCTTCCTCCAGACGGACGTGGCCATGGACGACCTGGGGGAGAACACCACCGTCCTGTCCTCCCTGAGGTCCCTGAACAGCTTCATCTCTCAGCGCGCGGAGGGTGGGCCGGGCGTGTCCGCCTCTGCCCCGGGCTCCCTGCAGCTGCAGTACCAGCAGAGCATGCAGGTGAGTGTGGTGGCGGAGGGCGCCTCTGGGCGAGGGAGCCCTCCCCCGGGGTGCAGCTGAGTGCCCCGGGTTGGGAGAGGGGCCGCTCAGGGAGAGACCCCTGCCCGCAGACAGGCTGGGTCGCTGTCCACACACACAGCGGGTCCCCGAACCCAGGCGTTTCGTGCTGGTGCTGACGAGATGCCCTGGCAGCTCACCTCTTGTTTAGAGCCGTCAGCCCGCGGTACAACTGGGTTCGCTACAGGTCGCTTGGCTCCAAGCGACAGTCGGGGCCCCTGTGGCTGACGGCAGGCAGAGTGTTTTCTCGGCCCGGAGGCCAGCTGGCTGTCTTCCAGGCCTCTGGGGGGTCCTCGCAGTTTGGGGAAGGTGGCTGGGAGCCAGGCCTGGCCCTGAGCTGTCCCAGCTCGCAGACCTGATTTATCGGCACCGCGCCGAGGGCCTGGCGCCCCACGTGGGCTCGCGTCAGTGAGCTCACAACACTGGGGACAGCATCGGAGAGCTGCCCTGCTCGTCTACTGGAGGAAAACCCAGACTGCCTGGGAGCACGGCTGCCTACTGTCCGGCCAGCTGCTGGCTCCCTTGAAGGGGTAGCACATGGGAAGGCCGTGTGTAAACTTGGGGTCTTGGTCAGCCTGGCGGGAAAGCCGGGGCAGTGAGCGGAGTTTGGGTATGTCACGGCCGCCGTGGGCAGGTCTCGGCCTCAGTCTGCCGTGGACTGACTCTCACAGTTTTATCGTGGGGGTGGAGTGACTTCACTTTGTTCCAAGTCCCTGGCGGAGCCTGGGGCGGACGCGGCTGTGGAGGGGTCAGGCCCCTGGAGGACTTTGGCTTCTGTGGGGTCGTGGGTTCAGTCCCAGTGGGGCGGGGGTCACTGGGTCTGCATGGGGACAGGAGATGGCGCCTGCAGGCCTGCCCAGGCCCCTGCCGCTCTGTGCTGACCACTGCCTCGGGCCACCCCGCCCGTCCTGCTGCGCCCTCCTCCTCTGTGAGCTGCAGGTGCTGGCGTGGCCAGCCGGCGGCGACGTTCCGTGCGGGATGCGGCTTCCTGTGCCCCGGGAGCCCCGGGAGCCATGCGTCCTTTCCCGCGTCACCGAGTGGCTCGCCGCCTTTTTCCGGCGAGGACTGTTCTTTACTTTGAAATAGGGATTTTTATTTCCGTTTTTGGTGTTAAACACGTTTGTGTGAGGTACCAGTGGTAATAGATTGTACTCAGTTTCTGTCATCTTTGCCCGCTGGACGAGAGAAGTTCAAGTTTCACTGATGCAGATGCTGGGACCTTTGGGCCTACGTGTCAGGACTGTGGACTCCAGGATCCTGGCGGTCCCCCTGTCACCCAGCTAGTGCCGCAGGCTCAGTGACAGGTGGCAGAGCCAGAGGATGCCAGTTCCAGTCGTGCCGCTGCAGCGCCTGCCGCGGGCCCCGACCTGTCGCAGGACGCAGCCAGTGGCTCTCTTCCCTGCCACGCCGCCTGCAGCCGCGGGCCTGGGCAGCCTGGAGGCGGAGCTCAGCACCGCTTCCCCGGCAGACCCTTCCTCCCTCCTTTCCTGAAGGGTCCTGTGTCCCGGGGAAAGTGTTTATGGTTTGCTCTGCCGCAGCACGTGCCTGTGTAAATAGAAAAGTGATGTTTCAGCTCCTTCCCTTCAAACGCAGCCAGT